AATCTTAGTCTGCAAACTCCAGCACAGAAGACATAGACATTTCCTTATGCTTCTAGTGATACATCACCATAATTTCTATGTTGCATCTCTGTACCCATCAACAGACTAAGTTATGCTACAGCAACAAATAGCCCCCACATCTCAGTGGTTTAACACAGCAGAGGCCCGTCACGTGCGTATGCTATCTGTCTACTGTGAGTTGCAGAGGGAGTGTATTTGTTGTTGTCAGGTAGCGATCCAGATAGAGGCCTCATCTCCACACTTGCTTACAAGGTCACTGTGGCAGGGTATTCTTTTTTCTGTTATTGCTAATGTCATAAAATATTTGAGCCTGGATAATTTATAAAAACAGAGGTTTATTCAGCTCACGGTTTAGAGGTGCAAGGGCCAAGGGGCAAAACTGGTTGAGGTCTTGCAGAGTCTCGAGGCATCATGTCACAAGGGCAAGAGACAGCTGTGTTCATGAGTCTCTGTCTCTCTCATTTTCTCTTCTTATTAACTTACCAGGAGTCAGGACCAGTGGATGGCATAGTGGTTATGCCACTGGACTACCATGTATTCGACTATAGTTCAAGTCCTGGATCCGGTGGCTTAAAACTCATGCCGGGTGTGTGTGCATTCTTACCTAAATTCCTGAGAAGAGAATAGAGAAGAAGGGATTGCGGTGTGGCTATCCCCCCTGGGGGGTGATTTCTCACTTTCTGTTTCTTTGTCTCTCTGGAGAGCACATGCACCCTATAGCAAAAATCACTGTAAACAAAAAAATAAATAAATAAACCTACCATGAGTAGGTTATGGGGATTCTGTCTGAATGACCTTAAACCTAATCTCTTCTCAAAGATCCCACCTTTCATTACCATAGTCTGATTAAGTGTTTATCCTCTTAATCCTGTCACAGTCAAATCTCAATGTGAATTTTGAGAGAGACATACAAACCACAGTATGGAAGAGAGGCTGGCCCCCTAGTCTGGTAGTTAAGGGAGCCAGATCCCACAGGACTCACTGTGGTTCGGGAGTAGTAACATGACTGGACCCACGTGAGAAGGTCCTGGGTCCATGGCTGGGCCCCCACTCTGTATGCTGGGTGTGTGTACTTGTGTCCAGGCTAGGTATAGCTGGGGATGGATTGCAGTATGAATACCCTGTTGGGGGTGTCCGTCTCTCTGCCTTTCTATCATGGAAAAAGTAAATGAATGAACCTTAAAAAAATACACCAGGGGGGAACCAGCAATTAGCGTAATGGCTATGTCATTGGACTCCCACGTAGTGGACCGCGGTTTGCATCCTGGACCCGGTGGCTTAAAACTCACGCCGGGCGCGTGTGAGTGTGTGCCCAAGATCCCAAGAGGAGAACGGAGGAGAAGGGATTGCGGCGTGACCATTCCCCCTGGGGGGGGATTTCTCACTTTCTGTCTCTCTGTCTCTCTCTGTGTCTTTCTGGTGAGCGCATGTGCTCTATAGCAAAAACCTCTCAAAAAAAAAAAAAATTACACCAGACTGGGTAATATTAATCTGTTATTCTCGTGTTTCCCGTAAAATCTTTGCCACTTTTTTATCTCATTTAGTTCAGCTTTTGAGTTTTTTTTTTAAGAGTTGTTTTTTGCCTTAGGATATGTGTGCTCATAAGAGAGAGAGAGAGAGAGAGAGAAAGAGAGACAGTGAGAGGGAAAGTGGGAAATCACCCCCTGGGGGAATGGCCATGCCACAATCCCTTCTCCTTCATTCTCCTGCCAGGATCTTGGTCACACATGCACATGTGCCAGTGTGAGTTTCAAGCCACCAGACCCAAGACTTGAACTGTGGCCACCCATGTGAAAATCCAGTGATATAACTGCAATACCATCTGCTGGCCCCCCCAGCTTTTAAGTTTTAACAGTCTAGTACTGAAAGGAATGGAAAAGACCTAGAAACAATCTGATATAAAAGCAATAGTGTCATAACCTGGACTCCATAAACATTCAGATCAGGGTGGCTGATGGATTCTCAAGAGGACCCTGGGCTCAGCAAGCAGGAGTCTCGGGTAGGTTAGGTGAAGACAAGAACCCTGGGAGCAGAGGGCACTCTGCCTTTCTTCCAGACGCAGCCCCACAGTTGTGGAAGGAGGTGTTACAAGGTGTGGCTGGGCAGATCCAGTATGTGTGAGATGTCATAGTAGTTAAAATTGGTTTGCCTTGTGAGTGCCTGGAAAGACAGAAATGGTTGAAACATGTTAGAACTCCTCTCATTCACCAGCTCCCCTGTCTCCAGCTCTTAAGTCTTCCATACTTTTATTTTCACTTCATGGTGCTGATTACAGTAAATTTACGTGAAATCAGGCTTAATTAAGCAGGCTTGTCACATGGACTGTAATCTCCCTGAAAGCAGTGTTCCAATTTGTCACACATTCCCAGTGCTTAGTACATAGTAAGCAGTCACAAAGTATGTATTGAACCAATATGTATATATATTAACAGGTGAATAATCATATCAGTAAGGTGGAGTTTCTCATCTGAGTCTCGGGCAAGTGTTTGCTACACTGAACATCCTTAGTTTTGCTGAACATCCTTAAAAGTCAATGATTGTAGAACTGGGAAGAAGGGGCTAGATTGTTAAAACTTAGAATAAAGGAAGAGGAAAAGAATTGTAAGATACATTTTATTCATAGAAATATACAGTTTTATTTCTTAAACGTGTTTAATTGCTTATCATATTAAACAAAGTTCTATCGTGCATGATTAAAAAAAAATCATTCTACAGTGCATACACCCATCCCTGTACCCAGTCTGCTACCCAGAGGTAATCAGGTGGTTTCAGTTTTAGGTAACTGTCTCTGTGTATCTAAATCTATCCTTATACTGCTCTTTCGTGGTTTATCAATTTTAGACATTATCGCTTGACTTCCTGTTGTGAGTGAAGAGGATTTAGCTCAACGTACGCTTCTCCTAGTAGAAATGCATCATTTTAATTTCCTCTACTGTTTTGTTTTTAATTTTTTTAAGAATTGTTTTATTTAACTGTCTTTATTTACTTTAATTTGACCAGAGAGGTGGAAAGAGAGAGAAAGTGAAAAAGCAAGCTGCCAGGTCTGGGACTTGAACTGTGGTTGACCATGTGGGAGTCCAGCACTCTTAACCACCATGCCACATGCCGGCCCCTCCTCTATTATTTTAACATTAAGTAATGGACTAAAATCTTTCTTATGCCAATTATTTAATTTTATATTTTTAGTTTGCTATAGGGTACTTGTGCTTACCAGAGAGAGACAGAGAAAGAGAGAGAGAGAGTGAGAAATCACCCCCTAGGTGGATGCTACATTTAAATCTTTTCTCCTCCATTCTCCTTTCAGGATTTTGGGCATGGCGTCTGGTGTGTTTTTCTTTTTCTTTTTTTTTTTTTGAGAGTTTTTTTTTTTTTTTTTTTTTTTTTTTTTTCGG